TTATCATATTCCATTTGCGCTTGCTCATGCTGCTTTGCCTCTGTTTGTGTTGCTGCCGTTGAAGCTGGTGGATGCTCCTGAGCTTCCTGAACTGTCGGTGCTTGCTGGCGCTGCTCTGCCTTTGTTTGCGCTGCTTCTGTTGAAGCTTGCGCTGGCTCATATGAGGTTGATGTGAGCTGTACTGCTTCTGTGTGTTGCAACTTGTCTGGATACTGTTCTAGCTCAGGGAGAGGTGGTGTGTATGGGACTGTTTTTGGAAGTCTCAGTGTGCTACCTGCTGGTGCATCCAATCTGGCTGGCTGTAACATGGTATAGTGTGCGTACATCTCTTTTGATTCCAAATTCTCACACCATTTGTAGAAGACGTGGATGTCCGGAACGCGATCCATGCCATAGATGCAGTCTTGCTTCAAGTTGGTAGTGCCCTCAATGATGCTGTAGACCTGCGAGTGTATGTGGCAGGATTGCAGTTAGAATATTGCTAAACATACCTCATGATCAGCCTACAGTCTACTGTACAGCGCATTACGGCATAAGAAAGCTTTGCAACAATAGAACCATCCTAACATTTCTCTTTAGAACTGCTTGTGCCTCTGGCGCAATGGTACATCGAATGGCAAGATTCAGAGCTTGGCCCACCAAAGGCAATTCACAAATGTCCACAGATAGCTTTTGTTTAAGTGATTCTGCTAGCTGTCCAAGCACTGCATTGTCCCCCACATGCATAGATATCACCAGACTCCGCAAATCCATGGCACGTTCGCTCTCACTCTGCACAAGCCTGCGGTTCAAAGCGAAGCCGCTAGAGTTCCTTGCTATCTGACTAAACTCATCGAAGTGTAATGCACCCCAAATGGAGTGGTATAAGCAGAGTCCATCTGGAGGAGTTTGGTATTCTTGGAAGTTGGCATAAGTGCTGTCATCGCCAAGTCCAATTTCAGGAGTGAGTTTCTGAACACAGTCTTGAATAGCCAGAGATACTGCAGAAGACACCTGCAGGGTCCACTAAAGCAAGTTCTTTATATATATATATATACTCGACAATTTAACACGCTCAACGTATGAATGCATACCTTTAGCCTTCTTCTTCAGGAAAAGGAAACAACCGTTTTTCAGAATCGAACTGATTTCTGCTACGCATTTTGGCACGTTAGCACCTGATCCCGAATAGTTACCGCGACCCTGGAAGCATCCTCAACCAAGAAACTGTCATTCTTAAGGCGTCCACTGCCTGCTTGATGCAAACTCACTGGCTGAAAAAACACCTCGCCATCGCAGAGTTGAACATCCCACGCACAAGGCACAAGCGGATCTGCGAAACAAATCAGAATCAGAATTGGCTCACAGGCTGTCTTGCAGAATTCTGCAAACTGCTCCTCAAATCTGCGTGGACAAGGGACATCTTCCCAGCAAACCATGCCCAGCACATGGAAGTCCAAAGACTTCCACCGCTCAGCAACCTCCTGTGTGCCAAGTATAGCCTGAACCGAAGGTCCCATGATAACATCAAACACCCGACCAGCTGATCCAGCAAGGACCCCAACTTTCCGGTTTGCAGTGGAAGGCAATGATGCAAGGCGTTTGACAATGCCTTTGTAGACATACACTGTGCTCTTCTCTTTCTGTGGCTTCTGTTCTGCTGGCGCAAGGAACTCAGCAGTCACATCAATGGCATCCTTGAGAGGAAAAGCGCTGGGATCATTAGCCGACATCTCACTCAAATCTGGACCAGCCATCATTGCAAGGGTATTCAAGGCGGCCTCGCTCTTCTGTGCCTCTCGAGAACTCATCACCGCCGTCTTGATGGACTTGTTGAGCTGACCCTCCTGCGGTGAAGGTAATATACAGTCAGGGGAAAGCACAAACTTCTACTGTAAGTTTGTATTCTATCTGCATCAAACTGAGCTTGGGCAATATTGAAAAATAATATGCCAATGTACTGTCCTGTATTTTGATTTGTTTTCTTTCTTCCTAAACCACTGGTCCTTATCTGCCGCTTGCATCGACTTCAGCCAGCACAATGCTTTGCCAAATGTGGTAAAAGTCTCTTCAATCATTTGCTTTCCCCCTTGGAATGAAGCACGATATCCAGCACCATGGCAAAACGTGACAGACATACCAGCTGCATTGAAGGCATGGCCTGGAGAGCCTGCCGCAAACCGCTTCAGCAGCGCATTGACAACATCCTGCTCAATAGTAGCCATATTGCCGTTGAAGAGGCGGCGCATGAGTGCATCCCTCTGATCGGCAATCTTGGCCTTGTGGAACTTGCTGTCAACACCGGCTGAGTCTAGTAGCGCCTTGCGTTCAGCAGGTTTCCTGGCAAGTGTGTCAAATTCAAAGGTCAGCTTGGACACATGAGACTCAAAGAACTGGCACGCCCAAAGAGCTCCATGTTCTGTACGATCGGTCGAATATGCGCTGTGCAGAAACTTGCGCAGCAAACCATGCATCTTGAGAGTCACGTGCTTGGAATACTGGGTGATGAACTTGCTTGATGAAACAGGAGGAGCTGGCATGCCCTCATGCGGCCCCTCTCCATCTTTTTCATCATCAGACCTGTCATCAGGCGGAACTGCTGGAGCAGGAAGCGGTGGCAACGTCTCACAATTAGATGCTTTGCGTTCCCGTGCTGCATCTTGTGGAGTCTGTGCCTGCCCATGGCAATGCAAGATCAACTCATTGGCTTGAGAATTCATCCACTTCTGTAGACGCTAGCAGGACTGGTCATCTAGAATTTGAACATATTCATGATTGCATAGATATAACTATATATACTGTATATATACTGTATATATTACAAAATTAATGTATTGTACAGTTGCTCTAAGTCACCACAGACACGTGTTACAGATAGAATATGATAAGTGCAAAGCACTGCAACGTCTGAACTCACCTTAGAAGCTGCCGTTGCTTGCAATAGCTCCAGTACTCCCCGCTGGCGCTCAGTCATGGCGCTCAAAGAGCAAGGAATGAATTGATTCAATGTCCAGAAACCACCAATAGAACAATGACCAGAATTGAGGGTTGCTTGCTGAACAACTGGTTGGCCTTTGCCTTCTAAGCGTGTCAATCAACATAGCATCAAGCGGCTGCTCGTGCAGCAACATCCAAACTTGAGCATCCGAACTCACGATCAAAGGTTTCCAAGACATCTGACGCCACGCCAAACTTGCATATTCTATCTGCAGTGCGGTGGCTTGCTGCAACAAATGAAA